TCTTTTATTTTTAATATATTTTCATTGATCTCAGAGGGAAGAGAGAGGGCGAGGGAGAGAGAGAGAAACATCCACGATGAGAGAGAACCATTGATCCGCCGCCTCCTGCACACCCCACACTGGGGATCGAGCCCGCAACCCGGGCCTGTGCCCTGACTGGGAATCGAACCGTGACCTCCTGGTTCATAGGTTGACGCTCAACCACGGAGCCACCCCAGCCCGGCAGGAAGGATCTTCTTGACGTCATTGCTTCCCAGGGAAGGCTTTCTGACCGTGTGGGTCATGAGACTTCGGTGGCCACAGGCCTCTGGGGTTCTCACCTCCTTGTAGAGAGGAAAGCCAGGAGACGGAGGCCCGATTCTTTGAATTAGAGACTTAACACTGTGCTCTCGGGGCGTTTTCTTTCTCTCTCTATTTTTTATTCTTACAGCTTTATTTTTGTGTACACATTTGCTTAACAATCACTGAATTTTTAGGCTGAGGAGCCTTTAGAAGTAGTTGTATTGTCTGGAACGAAGGTCTGCTGAAAGCCCCGTCTGGAGCAAAATGGGAAATCACTTCTAGAAGTAGGCTGAGGAATTCCGGTCCAGGAGGCTACGTGTCTCCTCTCTCTGGTGGCCGGGCTTAGGCCTACCTGGCTGTGGGCCGCAGGAATGGCCGCGAGAACAGGGTGCAGACCACCCAAGACAAGCCCAGCCAACCCACCGCGTGTTGCGGCACCGGTTTCACAGTTCAAGTCACCCGTGTTCAACGGTAAACTTACAGCACCTGTAAGCTACGTCTGCTGTCAAAATGGGGTCACTGCCATCGGTGAACCAGCAGCGATACGAGCCCGTGTCACATTTAAGACGCGTCGGAAAAGACTGTTTGCTAGTTGGCCACAGAGAGCAGCATTCGGGCCAACGTACGTGGATCCATGTTCAAGTAGGTTCCGTCCTGCTTTGGGAAGTTGGCTAATTTTCCTGTTTATGATGTCAAGGTGTTCTTTCTTCAGAGTATCGTCTGGTCCGTGATTTCCATCTTGAGCCAGTGCCCTCCCCGCGGCCTTCGGCGCCGGCTCCGGCCTTCCTCGGCCCTGAGGCTCACCGCAACCTGCACTCTGCTCTCGCGGCACAGCCATTTTTCCAGAGTGTTTCCAATATGATCTGGGGGAAAGGAAAAGAGGATGTTTGGCAAAGGAGCCGCTGACGAGGGTGGGCCTGCGGGCACACCTACCGCTGGGGAGGGGGGGCGGGGAGCACTAGGCCGATCCCACCTGAAGGCAGACGGATGGCCCCACCCTCATCCCGACGGGGCTTCCAGAGGAACATGCACCTTCCCCAGTGGGTGCTGGAGGCAGGCAACCCCCACCCCGCCGCCCGCCCCATCCCCTCCTGCCTTAGAGCAGCAGGGACGGGGTGCGCACAGGCTGGTTTGCAATCCCAGCGAGAATGTTGGGGAGCCCAGCCGGTTTGGTTCAGTGGATATGTTGCAGGATTCCAGGGCAGGAGGAATAGGGAAACGGAGGCAGGAAAGTTAAAACAAGGCCAGACAGTGTGGGCAATTTGCAGCTGGTAACTAACAAGCCATTATCTTCCCCAGCCCAGGACACAGAGCAAATGGTTAAAAAAAAACAAAACACCCCTAAGGCAGTGGGTCTCAACCTTGGCTGCACATTAGAATCACCTGGGAATCTTTTTAAAATCCTGATTTCTGGGCCTCATCCTCCAGAAATCCTGTGTCTTTGTCATGGGGTGGAGCCACAACATTAGTCACAAAGAAACAGAATTTCTGGAGGGTGAGGCCCAGAAATCAGGATTTTAAAAAGATTCCCAGGTGATTCTAATGTGCAGCCAAGGTTGAGACCACTGCCCTAAGGAGAGAATGCAGAAAGGGGCGGGGGTGGGGGGAAGGAAAACAGGGCAGCGCCACTCCCCAAGCGGAGAAGCCAGCAGTCTCAGGCTGGGCGAGATACAGGCGCCAGGTGCTGCTCATGAATCCTGGGGAGGCCACAACAAAGTAGAAAAGGGACCTTGAGAATTAACCTGCCCCCAAATAGCAGAGGAATTGTGAGACCTGTGGACAGGAGGGTGTGTAACGCCCGGACCCCCACCCCACCCGCTCTGCAGATCAGCTGCTTGCTTTGCTTTTCCAACGAAGGGGCGTGCTTTAATTCTTTAATACATTGGCTTTTCACCATGCAGTCCCGATCTCTCGTATAAATCCACTTACATGAGAAGACAAGGATCGAGGTTGGAGAGAGCCTCTCTCACTGGCTCAGGGGCTGTCGGGTAACACCTCTCTGTGTCAGTGAGGGGGGCCTGTCACAGACACAGCATTGGCCCCAGGGACTGGAGGGTCCCGGGTTTGATTCTGCCCAAGAGTTCATTCCAGTCAAGGGCACAAACCTCGGTTGGAGGATGGATCCCCGGGCCCGTGTGGAGGCAACCAATCAATGTCTCTCTCACATGGATGTTTCCCTGTCTCTCCGCCTCCCTTCCACTCTTGATGGGAAAATACCCTGGGGGAGGATTAACAACAGGAACGTCAGGGGCACGGGGACCTCTCTGAGGGAGGGATACTGTGCAGCCGGGTGTCTTGTAGATCAGGCCACAGGCTTGGCACCACTGGGCTGATTCTCTCTCACTGGCCGTGGCCCCCATCTTGGCCCTGGCTGGGAGGGTCCCCAGTCTCTCTGGGAGGGGTGGCGTCGGGCTGAGGTGTGGTCTTCAGGTCCCTGGCACTTTGCTCTCCTGTCCCCCAGCTTGTCCCTCGAGGGCCCTGAGAAATTGACCCTCTGGGACGGGGTTCAAACTTCTAGATACAGAGAACAAACAGATGGCTGCCAAATGGGAGGGGGATTGGGTGAAAAGGTGAAGGGGTTAAGACCTACAAATTGGTAGTTGTAAAACAGCCATAGGATGCAAAGTACAGAATAGGGAACAGAGTCAGTAATCGTGTAATAACTATGTATGGACCAGGTGGTGCTAGAGTTATTGGGGGAATCACTTCATAAATTATCACTATGCTATTCCCCTGAAGCTGATATAAAATAATACTGGATGTCATTGGAAATAGGCAGGGGTGGGGGGAGTGGGGAGGCAAGCGTCCCAAGGACCACCGAGTTTCTCAGAAAGACGCAATGGACACTGATCCGCATTCCAAGTGCCTGGACTGGACCCGCAGGAACCCGCGCGGCCTGCTCCTGCCTGCTCCTCCTCTTCCCTTTCGGTGGAAAAGGACTGTGTACTCTGCCTCCTCAGCTGGGAGAAGGGCGAGGGCGGAACGACAGCTGAAGTAGCCTTTGCAGCCAGCTTGCGAGTGTTAGTAATTCGCTGCCCTCAGGAGTTCTCAGGCCTCCGCTGACCTGCTACCTGGTTGGTGAAAAAGACCGGGTCAGCACCCAGGGCCACACTGTGTGAGGCAGTGATGGCGAACCTATGACACGCGCGTCAGAGGTGACACACGAACTCACTGTTTTGGTTGGTTTTTCTTTGTTAAATGGCATTTAAATATATGAAATAAATATCAAAAATATAAGTCTTTGTTTTACTATGGTTGCAAATATCAACAAATTTCTCTATGTGACACGGCACCAGAGTTAAGTTAGGGTTTTTCCAAATGCTGACATGCCGAGCTCAAAAGGTTCACCATCATTGGTGTGAGGCAACAGAGGAGCGTGGCTTTGCCCTGCCCCCACCCCTGCACAGCTGTGAGCCATTGACCGCAGGTCTGCACGTGGACCCCGGCCTAACACATGTCTCCAGAGGCTGCACACTACACCGACGGCTTCTGCAGGTGGTGGGGGAGGCCGGAGCAGCATGGAGGGTGAGTGAAAAGGGAGACGCAGGACAGGGACAGAAAACCGCTGGGGCCTAAAGTGCCGGCTCTGAGTAAGTTAATGAGCCACTAAAAACGAGGGGATGCTGCGGTGATCAGATCCGAAGTTGGAGTGAAAACTTGGGGCCGTCAGAGGTGGATCTCAGTGTGACGGTGGAGGCGGGAACCGGTGCCGAGCCAGGCAGACTGCCGGACGGGAAGGGCTGGCCGCGGTGGAGAGAGCAGAACGTAAGCCACGGCTCTGCTGTGAACTCGCGTGCCTTGGGCCAGTCACTTTATCTCTCTGGATCTTTGTTTCATAGTCAAGAAGTGAGGAGGTACAGCTCAACAGCAAAACACTGAGCTACCTGATTAAAAAATGGGCAAAAGACTTGAACAGACATTTCTCCAAAGAAGACATACAACAGGTAAGTGAGCACATGAAAGGATGCTCAACCGTATTCGTTTTTAGGAAGATGCAAAGTAAAGCCATCAGATGTCACCTTATCCCCATTAGGATGACTATTATTAAAAAACAACACCACAGAAAATAGTAAGTGTTGGTGAGGATGCGGAGAAATCGGAACCCTGTGCATTGCTGATAGGAATGTCAAATGGTGCAGCTACTGTGAAAACCAGTATGGCGGTTCCTCAAGAAATTAAATATAAAATCACCATATGGCCGAAACCGGTTTGGCTCAGTGGATAGAGCGTCGGCCTGCGGACTGAAGGGTCCCCGGGTCGATTCCGGTCAAGGGCATGTACCTGGGTTGCGCGCACTTCCCCAGTGGGGGATGTGCGGGAGGCAGCTGATTGATGTTTCTCTCTCATCGATGTTTCTAACTCTCTATCTCCATCTCTCTCCTTTCCTCTCTGTAAAAAATCAATAAAATATATTAAAAAATAAAATAAAATCACCATATGATCCAGCAATTCGACTTCTGGACACATACCCCAAACAATTGATAGCAGAGACTCAAGCAGATCGTTGTCCACACATGTTCATAGCAGCATTGTTCACAGTAGCCAAAAGGTGGGAGTAATCCATTTATTGCCAGGTGAATGGATAAATAAATGTGTTGTATACATACAATGGAATATGATTCTGCCTTAAAAAGGGAGGAAATCTGATCCGTGCTACAACACGGATGAGCCTTGGAGATATTTGCTAAGTGAAATAAGCCAGCCACAGGACAACTACTGCACGATTCCCCTTGTCTGAGGTGAGGAGTCAAATCCATCGGCAGAGAGGAGAGTGGCAGTTGCCAGGGCCTGGAGGGGAGACCATGAGCAGGGGCTGCTCAATGCGTGTGGAGTTTCAGGTCGGGGAGATGAGATAGTTCTGGGGATGGATGTGGTGCTGGGTGCGTGGGAATGTACTTAATGCCTCTGCACCGTACACTCAGAAATAGTTAAGATGGTAAATTTCATCACATTGAAAAATATTGAGGCAGAGAAAAGATTCCTGCCAAGAGTGCCGAGGTTCGCCATTGCCAAGACACGATCCCTTCTGACTGCGGACACGCCGGGCAGCGCTGAGGGCAGCTGAAGCCATCAGGTAGGCAGGGCCAGCCTTGAAGAGCTGCTGTTCATCCCGGGGTGCTATACACCTGTCCTGACTGTTAACAGGCCTTCGCTCTTAACCTCATTAATTGTCTCACATAATATACGTTCAGGAAAGTGCATAGAACCAAAACACACAGCTCAGATTTAATCTCAAGCCCCTGTGTGACCACCACTCGCTCAGGAGCTCGACCAGGGGTGGGCAAACTTTTTGACTCGAGGGCCACAATGGGTTCTTAAACTGGACCGGAGGGCCGGAACAAAAGCATGGATGGAGTGTTTGTGTGAACTAATATAAATTCAAAGTAAACATCATTACATAAAAGGGTACAGTCTTTTTTTTTTTTAGTTTTATTCATTTCAAACGGGCTGGATCTAGCCCGCGGACCGTAGTTTGCCCACGGCTGAGCTAGACTCTTGCAGCACCCCAGAATGCAGGGCAGTGTGTTCCCACCTAGGCAGGCATCACCCAAAGTTCTGCCTGACATTCGGACAGTAACAGGGGTGGGCACAAGTAGGTTTACTGTTGTGAGTACACGAAACACAGTTTATTCTTGTTCTATATTTATTGTATTATTTATTAGTAATACTTGTCTTCTCATTATTGTTATTATTTCATATCATTACTTATGATTTACCTTTTAGGTACTTATAACTGGTAATTTAACCCACTTTCCTGCCCCCCCTTTATAAATGGAATCCCAGAATGAAAATAAACAACTGCACATAGCAACATGGATGAATCTCATATATATCATATCGATGCAATAAAACAGCTCAAGAGGAATATATCAGAGCAAATTATTGGAAAAAAAACAAAAAACACCCACCACTCTTTCACCTGTTCTTTGTCATAAATCAACTGTTTTATTTGAATGAACGAGTCTGTGTTGAGGCTTTCTAGAAGATTCCATCGATCCACTTGTCTGCTTTGTGCCCATCCCGTACTGTAGTAATTACTGCCACTCTACTGTCTTGTTACCCAGTAGAGCAACTCCTTCCTTCTTATTTTTCAGAACTAGCTCATCGAGGTCAACCAAAAGCCAACTAACCAAACAAACCCTGGGGGGTTCTGATTGTAAATACACTCATCTGTAAATCAATTTGGAGAGAATTGACATCTTTACAATGCTGAAGCTTCAAGCCATGGACCTGGTGTAACCTCCATTTATTTCAGTTTTCTTTAGTTGCTCTCAAGGATGTTTGACAGTTTTCTAGAAGTATGCTAGGGCGTTGGTCCCTCAGCCTTTGGTAGTCTGGGCAGAGCCTGGGCAGCCAGCCTGGCCCGAGGCAGATCACTCCAGCCTTGGACAGACGGGCAGATGTTGACCCTAGTGAATTATACAACTATCATCAACTTCTCTGTGGGAAAATGTTGGGAAGCATTGAGAGGTCTTTCCAGTTTTCTGTTCCTGACCATTTGCACAAACCTCTGTGCTGTGCGTGGGCAAGAATGCCACCAAGTGTCCTGAACTCCCGAGCTGCCCAATGTGTACTTGTAGCCCGCTCACTTCACCAGCCTATCGGTACCCTGTGTGCCCATAAACTAAGAGGGCTTGTTCTGGCAAAAACATTAATAATGCGGCTGTGTGCTGAGCACTCTCTGGTTCTGGGGGATGTACAAACGCCTTCTTAGGGCTTCAAGGAGCACCGTGAGGTCGTTAGTCTGACCTGTATTTTACAGAAGAACACCTAGAGCTTTGAGAGGCAAAGTGACTGCGAAATGGTAGAACTGCTTCCTCAAACATGACGGACTAGATCCTCTGAAAACCCTTCCTCTACAAAGTTTGTAGAAATACTGGGTGAAACACAGAAAAACATTTTTAAAAATAGATAGTTGAACTTGGGAGAAGCTTTCTTCACAGGGTCACTGAGGGACAGAAGATGAGACCGGGCACAGAGACCCGGGCAGAGCGGAGAGCCTCAGACAGCTGCGTTCGCAGGGAAAGGAAGCCGGTCCTGTGGCGAAGTCATTCACTCCCTCGTTAATTCAGTGACATGTTGGAAGCTTGCTGTAAGCTGGACTTGTACCCCAGGCACTGTGGGCTACAGCGACAGAACATAGAGTTCTGTACCTGGGGGACTTATATTTTGGTGGGGGAGTGACAGAAAATAATAAACGTAAGTTATCAGTATGATAAAAGGGGATCTGTTTATGGGAAAAGCAGAACAAGGGAAAGTGGATCAGGGAGAGTGAGGAAACCACTAGGGTGGCCTGGACTCTGGAAAAAAAAATCTGTTCTCCAAATTCCCAGCCTCGGATGTGCCAAGGTCGTCCCCCAGGCTGCTCACTGACGGCCTTCCTCATCCTCCCACCGGTGGGAAGGGGTTAAAGCTTGGGAAGGCGCCCATGTTCCCGTTTGCCATACTGAGGGTGAGTCTGAGAAATCTCTCTCTCTTTTTAATCTTCACCCAAGGATACTTTCCCCATCCATTTTTAGAGAGAGTGGAGGGGAGAGGGAGAGACAGAGAGACACACCAATGTGAGAGACACATTGATTGGTTGCTTCCCGCATGCCTCCAACCCAGGCTAGGAGACTGTATGTGCCCTTGAGCAGAATCGAACCTGGGACTCTTTAGTCCGCAGGCCAACGCTCTAGCCACTGAGCCAAACCGGCCAGAGCAGGGCTGTCTTTTGCGTGTGTGTGTGTGTGTGTGTGTGTGATACAACTTTATTTGTTTTAGAAGTTTCAAGAATAAATATTACTCACTTATGCTCCTTAATTTGAAAATTATGGCACTATTTACATGTAATATAATTCATCTGTCTTAGGGGTACAGTTTGGTGAAGTTCAATAATTGTAGACAATTGCATAGCCACCTCCTCACTCAGGCGATAGAACAGTGACCTCACTTTAAAGGTTCCCCTTTAGGTCCTTGATTTTCGTTGTTGTTAATCCTCACCCGAGGATATTTTTTCCATTGGTTTTTAGAGAGAGTGGGAGGGGGAGAGAAAGAGGGAGAGAGCAACATTGATGTGAGAGAGATGCATCGATTGGTTGCCTCCTGCACATGCCCTTAACCCAGAATCAAACCTGAGACCCTTCGGTGCATGGGCCAACACTCTAACCACTGAGCCACACCAGCCAGGGCTAGGTCCTTGATTTTAAGAGGGACATGGACAAATTGGTGGGGGTCCAGGGCGAGAAGCCTTGAAGTCATGGCAGAGGCAGACCACCCTAAGGAATGAGGTTTATGGAGAAGGCCCAGTCTTCCGGCATTTAAAGGCTGCGATGTATACAAAGAGTGAATTAGGGCAGCTCAGAGGAGCCATCAGGACCTGTGGGTGGAAGTGTGAGGTGTTTTGACTCAGTATAAAAAAGAAACCTCTAGTCCTGGCTGGTGTGGCTCAGTTGGTTGGAGCGCCGTTCCGTCCACCGAAAGATTGCGGGTTCGATCCCGGTCAGAGCACATCCCCAGGTTTCAGGCGTGGTCCCTGGTCGGGCCGTGCAGATGAATTACTGTAGACCAAGCACCTGGAAGTGGTAGCGTCAGAATTTGACCCCAGGTGTCCTGACTTTACAACCAGATCTCCCGCCCTCCCCTTCGCTTTGGGAGCTCTACGGAGGCTCGGGCGCGGCGTCAAGGTGGGGAGGCCCTGGCCTGAGGTAGCTGCTCACATGGTCGTCGGTTCTGAGCATTTCTTTACCCCGGGCTCGGCCGTGCGTTGGCTGGGGACACCCAGGCCCAGCAAAGTCCAGGGCCCTGCCGGTGTGGGTGGAGGGCCACCCCTCCCCAGCTGTGGCTCGCTTTGCCTCACCGCCTGGACCCATCCTTGCCCTGGTTTCCAGTGTGGGCTGAGGATCCAGGTCAGCGGGAGCTGGGAGCGGGGTTGGCCTGTGTGGGTGCCGCTGATCGGGATCAGCTGCTGGCCGTCTGGGGCCTGGGGCTGAGAGGAGCTCGTAGAAACGCCTTCCACCTACCTGGCCGGGTGTGTCGGGAGGCTGAGTGTGAAGGGGGGACAGTTGAGAATAGAACAGCTCTCAGGTGAGAGAGGGGGTGGGAGAGGGACAGCGCTCAGGTGGGAGAGAGAGAGGTAGAGAGGTAGAGAGAGAGAGAGAGAGAGAGAGAGAGAGAGAGAGAGAGAGAGAATAACAAGAGGAAGGGAGAGCCTGGGAGATAGGAGCCATTTACTGCTCAACTCCCAGGGAGCAAGTGAGTGAGAGAACTCCCGCTGCCAGAGAGAAAGGATGGGCCGTGGGGGGCTTTGCTGCACTGACTGGGCTCACTGGCCTCCTGCTGGGGGTGGCTGCACAGGTTCCTGCGCCCCAGCAAGACCTTAAGTGACCCTCAGCCCTGACCTGGTGGGCGACAGCGGAGGCTCCTGGGCGTTGGGTGTGAGTTGGATGTGACCAGGTGTCTGCTGCAGGGAGAGACCCGAGGACGAGGAGGGCAGAGGCACCTCCTCCCTGGCCGTCCTTCCCTCTTCCCTGCCCTCCTTGGCTGGGAGGGGCTGGCAAGCAGTGGCATCCCGCAGGTTAGGCTGGTGGGTCAGTGCGTTGGGTTTGCCCAGCCAGCTGGCAGGAAGCAGGACAGAGGTCACTTGAACTCAGACCATGAGTCCCTGTTAAATACATCAGCTTTTAAATCGATCTTTGTTCAAAGTCCAGTGAGTTCCACGGCAACAGCTCCCCAGCAGAGTGGATTCCCCAGTGGACCCAGCAGTGAGCGCTTCCTCCCAGACCCAGGTAAGCACGGACTCTGCGTCCCCGACCAGGGCCTGGCCACCAGGCCACCGTCTTTCTTTTCCTTTTCCCTTTCCTAAGCGGCGGCTGGGCGTCCAGAGCAGCAGAGAGGCTGGTGGGGAAGGAACCAGGCCTGGTGGTGTGTGTGTGTGAGGGTGTGTGAGGGCTGTTTTCCTGGATTCTCTGCTTGAGATGCTCCAACACTTGCACGGAGGCCGCTTCCCCACGGAGCTGGCCGGCGGGTCGGTAGAGAAAGCTCTCCCAGGCTGCGGGAGGCTTGATGTGCGGCCACGGGGAGGGAGACGACAGGCCGCACAGGCCCTGGGGAGGTCCTCACGGTACCTTCCCGCTGGGCAAGACTTGGGTGTTAGAGATTTTCTCAAAGGACACAGCCTACTGCACTGGATCATAAGGAAAGGCGTCGCTCTTCTTCTCATTCCATTACGCACTGAGACGTGGGGAAGCTGTGGGTTTGCAGGCTGGCTGAGTTTTAAATGTAGATCTCCAGGCTCTACCCTTTGGAATTCTCGGTCCTGTGGGTTTTGTGTGGGTCTGAAAAGTCTCGGTTTGATGAATCCTCACCCAGGTGATTTTCGTGTGCGTGCAGGTTTGGAGCTTCTTTCCTAAGCAGAGGGGTCAAGGGGCTTCAGTGTGACTTCCGTCTGTTCTAAGGGCTCACCCGCTGAGAATGGGTTCTGGCTGCCTCCTTGGTCCCAGGCCGTGCGAGGCTGCACGGCACGCTCGCATTCCTCTACCAGCAGTCACAGGGCTGATGTCTCAGGTCCTGGGTGTCTGGTCACCTGGAGTCACATGCTCTCCCTGAAGCGAATAGCTCAGGGACTTTGAGTTTGTGTGTTATGACTAAGTACATTGGTCTTATCTCGGACTCCCTGGCACGTTCTTGGCAGCATAAACTAGGAAATTGCTAGTAGTGATGTCTTGTGTCCAGAGACAGCTGCCTCTCATCCAGGGAAGGAACGCGGGGCGGAATCCCAATCACCTGGGATGGTGCGGTTAGTGACAGGCTAGCGGACAAGCCACTGAGCCAGCTGGCCTCGGTTTTATCGTCTACCACAGGCTCTCGTCTTCTGCTGAAGGCTGCACTGAAAGTAAAATTATAAATATGTGTCTGAGCAGAAACACAAATGTGCTTACGCTTCTTTTTAAAAAAAGATTATCTATTGTTGAAAGTATTACAGATGCCCCCCCCCCTCTATTGTGTATCCATGGGTTATGCATATATGGTGAATCTCTTCCCACCCCCAGCCCTGCCTGCCTTCTGAGGTTCGTGTCCGTTCCATGCTTCTATGTCTCTGAATCTGTTTTGTTCATCAGTTTATTTTGTTCGTTAGATTCCACAAAACATTTCTAATGATGTATCCAAAGGCTCTGGATGAGCGGGAGAAACCGCCTCGGGGCTAGTCGGAGAGCTTGTCCCGTCTGTTAATCTCATTGAGCTTCTATTTACTCATCTATGATAAGGAGCTGAGACTTCCTGATCACTTCTGTCCTTCCCAGGCAACCAAGTGGAATAGGGGCTTTGAGGACTGGCTCCTTCTCGTCACTTGGGTATGAATTACAATGATAGCTCCCCAGTTCCTCCTCCACCCCGTCACCGGACCCCTCATACAATGCTAGCTCCCCAGTTCCCCCTCCACCCCGTCACCGGACCCCTCATAAGCAGCCTTATTCTCAGAAACCATCTTGTTTACTTCTTAGATGCCACCTTTGCCAGGTGTTCAGCTTCAGGAGGGCAGGGATCTTGTCCTTGTGTCATCTCTGCTCCCAGAACACCCGCAAGAGGAGATGCTGAGCTACCCAGATAAACGGAAGGAACTGCAAGGGTAGAATCAGGCTGTTTTCATAAGTTGCCCCAAAGGAGAGGAGGCTGAGGAATTCAGACACTCTCTCGGGTCATCCGTGGTCCCAAGTCTGATCATGCGGGAACGGGCGTCTCTATTTTACATCTGGGTTAAATGATTTTCACATTCGTTGCACAGGAATTTGATGAGAGCAGCAAGTTAGAGCTGGACGTATTTCCCTCACCCCTATCCTTCACGAGGGGCGGCTCAGATCTCTCTTCTCTCTGCCTGGTGGGAGTCATGGCTACATGGTTAGGGTGTGGGTGCTGGAGCTGGCCGCCTGCATTCCTGAGCAGACGGATTCT